TAATCTATTTCGTAGACCAATCAAATGAAATTATAAAAATAGAAAGAGGTGTACCGCCGTATATGTATCAGAGGGCAAGTCTCTCAATTAGTTTATCATGAACTCCATGAAAACTAAACCTCCATCATTTAGGGTGTCATGTCTCAGGAAAGCTATCTCCCGACAAAATTGAATTAGAGATGCTGGACAGAGAAATTACAGGCAATACGTTAATGATTTTTATCCATGTCACAATATGCTGGGAATAGAAGATTTTGATCTATGAAAGAACTTACCAGAGAAGAATAGTCTGCCTATTTCGACTTGAGATTAGCCATAAGTTTCCTCAAATCCTGTCCTTGTTGCTAAAAAAAAATAAATAAACTGCTCAATATGATGAATGAAGTCCAAGGAAGTAGATCTAAAGAGAAAACTCCGATACAAATAGACATATGAGCATGTTAACCCATTCCAAACCTTGTGAAGGCTCTTCCACCAACTGTCAGATCTGGATTGTAGTAAGCACCATTCCATAGCCATTTCGTATTCAATTGTGTTAGGCTGAGAACAATGTGAAGTAGATACAGCTTCTTTCTGAACAATAAGGAACTCCAATCACATTCACGAGCTAGTAAAAGACTCAAGATGCCAGAATAAGCAAAGGTTGGATAAGTGTTTTTATACATTCCACCATAGTGAAAAGCGCACCTAGGCCCATGGCGAGCCAAGGCACACTTGAAGCACTTCAATGGGCGTAAGGCGAAGCGACTTGGCTAAGGAGCAATCAAGGCACACAAAGTGTGCGCAACGGTATTAAGCCTAAGGCGCTTGAGTAATGATCAAAATATCATCTTGAAACGGGCGAAACGTTTCCGTTTCCAAGGAGATTAAAACGAATCAGTGATGAAATCGAAATTCTGATACTTCAAGGTGTTCCATAATGTTTTGAAATATTTTTATATTTCAATATATTTGTACAATTATTCCGAAATATTTCAAAATATTTTGCACAAGAAAATTTTTTTCAATATATTTGCACAATTCTTTATTTATTTTTTATTTTTTTCATTATGTTTCCGAAACGGGTTGAAACGTTTCCGAAACACATCGAAATATTTTCATTTCTTAGATAACCGAAATAATGCACCAAACAAAATTTTAATCTTGTCCATGAGGCATGGGCTTTTTCCCCTCAGTTTAGTGGTATGCTTTGGCTTATTGTCTACTAAATTTATCCAAAACATTTGACATACGTAACACCACCTTAGAATTCCAAATTTAACTGTTTAATTCTATCTTTAAACACCACATGTGAATTTCAGAGATCCACTCTAATCTAACTCGAACAATAAGTATCTTTTGGCGAGACAAAATGGGCAAGCAATGATGGTCTAGCGTCCGAGCCAATTGGTCAGACGACGACTACTAAGACTGTTGATCTCTGTTTTTCCTTTATTTTCATCATCCTCGCTCGCTTTCTGCATGACTCGGATCTCTCTTTCTCCAATTTTCTCTTTCCTTCTGTTTTTGTGAAACAAATAGGGAGCCGCTAGTTTGGTTATTGAAATTCAGTTAAATAATCTTGAAGTTGTTGTGGGTTCGAACTAAAGTACAATCACTTTCTGCAAATAATGCTAAAGATCATATCTGTATCAAATCCATCCCTCAAAGACCTAATGAGGACTAAATTGGGCTTTATTTTTTTGCTGTGAAACTAGCTCCTATTTTATTGAAACCACTTATGTTTTTCTAAACAAATAAACATCATTTTTTGTTTCAATTAGCTCTTAATATTTTAAATAAACTTCTGCTTTTAGAAAATATGTTCCATTTCCTTGAAATTTTCTGACAATTAATGAGTTCATATAATTCTACAGTGTAATTTATAATTTCTACGCAAGCGTTTAAGCCCCGGGAGACCTGTACCTGTATGGGTACCTGGAGTGCGTGTGTGGGTGACTGGGCACCTGTGTGTGTGTGTGTGTGTGTGTGTGTGTGAGAGAGAGAGAGAGAGAGAGAGGTAGATATTATACCATCTCCCTTTGCATTTGAAGTTTAAATTTATCAACAAATAGATGACCAAAAAACGTGGGCTGCTTTCCTGACAAACTAGGAGGTCCAAAGCAACCAACAAGCGGCCTGCAAATAAAATATCATTACACGATGAGCACTATTTTCGTATAAGTTGGGAAATCCCATGTTTTGCTACCATAGGTTACTTTGGCTAGAATAAATCCAGAACCACAAGGCAAACCTAAAATCAAATAACATACTCTACACGTTCAGTTGATTTAAGTCGAGGTATTTTTTTTTTTTTGGGGGGGGTGGGCGGGGTAAATTATTTAAGTCAAGGTTGTCAAACTTGTTTTGCAATGCGTTTAATGTTTCTAAAATAATGCATCGTTTATCATAAGATAAGATTCGCTTAATTTAAAATAAACATATCAATCAATATATATAACTAAAGATGAATAAATATCTATAGTTAAAAATAATATTAATACTATTTTTGTGGCCAATGTATTGTCTGTAGAGACTGAAAGAGAGACAGTACTTTGGTCTTTGCGACAGAGATCAACAAAAAAGAAGTTAGGAATTTGATTGTTTGAAGAACATGAATAAGAAGGTAGGAAAAGCAAAAGTGAATTGGAGGAGAATCAGATGGTGATTGAAGGTTCATCTCTGATCAAACCAAAAAGGAAAAAAAAAAACTATAGCAAATAATGTTGTTTCACTGTTTATGGTTTTAAAAAAGCCTTGAAAAATGACATTTTTCTGGTTATCTCAGAGTGCAACAACAAAGTTCAAAGAGTGAAGGAAAAAGATCACGACTAACCCTCATATCGATTAGGCAAATTGCACAACCTCATCGTTAATTTTTTTGTCACACAACATTCCAATTAATAAGATTAGCTAGAAATTTATAGGCAACTGTAGTTCTACTAATTCCATTAGGACTAACCAATGAGTCTTTAGTCTAATGGTATTTCTTACCTTGTGAAAACTTTACCTTGTTGAGGTCAAGGGTTCAAATCCCCCCTCCTCCTCTCCCTCTCCCTCTCCCAAAAAAAAAAATCCTATTAGGACTAGGGTAGAAAAAAAAAAAAAAAAAAAGGGAAAGAAACTGTCACTCTTCAACTCTTGATATTATTACCTCTATCCATCCTTTCCTAAGAGCTCTCCTCTACCTTCTTGTCGTCCAATTCTTTTATCTCCCTTGCTGCCTGAGCAATTCTCCAATTCACCTTCCTCGCTCAATTAACCTAGGTGCCATGAGCTATCACCTCCTGAAACCTTGTTGAGATCAAGCCAAGACTTCCTCTTACAGTATCTTGTCAGTCCTTCGAGATATTCTCTTCGACTGACACACGTTACAAATAGAAAGGCCAGGGTCAAACCTATACTTCAAATCTAAATGCAACCTAGGCTCCGTGCTGCTCTGTTCAATGGCAAAATCCATCTGCTCAAGGACCTAACCTAACCAAGGTTTTAGGCCATATACCCTACAAAAGCTGAACCTGTTAAACCTTTTATGCTAAGGATCCCTGCAATGTCACGAAATCTTGTATACACGCTACCTTCCTTGTGACAATTTTACTCCATAGGTTGCCTAAATTGCTCCAAACACGTTTTCTGAGGCACTTTAGGAATCTTAAGAGATATGGTTTACAAATATAGACTAATTTAATACGTCTTAGATACTATGAAGAGAAAAAGACAGAAGAAAACATAGGATTTGCTGGAAGAAGATGAGAGAAAGAGATCCTGATCCAAGGAATAGATTACCATGGGAAGTGGATTAGTTCCAAATACACTTTGGTGCCCGCCAATAGGGACCACTAATTGTCGACCAATAGTATACACTATTATTGTCACTATTGTGACTAACCACTAGTATGGTTAGATTTATGTTGGTCCACAAACCAAAATGAACTTTTATGTTCTTCAATATGTATTACAAGATAATTGTATATAAAACTGCTCACCAGTCAGGTAGAAGAACAAAGTTTAAATTTCACAGTTTGGGAAACAAATAGTCACCAATGATTAATTTAGATATGAAAGATTCTGAGTATTGCGATTGTGCATAATTTCTTGCATTCAAATCAAATGGCTAGGACATCAACAATGCTAAATTCTCAAAAAGTGGATGCCCAGCCCCATGAATACAAGCACCACCACCCAAATCCCAAGGGTTATATAATTTTGATAAGACCGACACAAAAGGACAATACAATTATCAACCACCCATTACCAGCGACACCCTCACAGCCTTAGTGAGCAAAAGCAACCAAAACAATAGTAGACTCGTACACCTCCACTACATCTGAAACTGTTTTTAACTCAGGCGGAACTCTCAATTGCCTCCTTAGAGCTAACCGGGTGATGAAAACGACTAACCAAACACAATCATAGAAAGGCCTTCAAGTCAAGAAGCTATCATCTGAAACATCAGACACCAAATCTTGGTTGTATGTATGACTGAGCATATACTCTACCTTATGGCACCATAACTACCTAGAGATACAGGCTCTTCAATGTTATATAAAACAATCATCAAGGAATGGAACAAGACCTGAGTGGAGAAGCCCACAATGCTAAAACAATTCAAGACATTTGAAAATCACAAATATTTCAGCACCTAATTAATCAACGAAGACTGTTACTCCTACACCTCATTACATCATCTCCCATGCAAGTTCAAGGTGAAATTACAATCTGTCCCTTAGCTTGCTATCGTGGTTTTCATCAAGTAAACTATAAAAGAAGACAGATGACAAGAAGAAGGTTTTTGGTTTGATATACATTATTTTCTGGACACAGATGAGTTCGTAATATTTCTTTATTCATTGCGGGTTGATTTGGAAGCATCAAAATGAGATGGTCCATTCTGGATTCTCAAAAAATCCAGCTAATATTGTCAGAGAAGCTAGAAAGTATTTAGCTAGTCATCAGCAGATAAACGATGCACAGTGAGCTCTACCACAGGTATCTGTTTCTGCGTTTTGGATTCCTCCTAGGGCTGGTCTTGTTGAGGTTAATTTCTGTAGTGTTGTGTTTGCGGAAGGCCAGAATTTTGGTGTTGGAGTTGTTATCAGAGATAGCAATGGTATTTTTGTGGCTGGTATGGCCAAGAAAATTGTTTCCAGAGGGCTGGACGCAGAAATCACTGCTATGAAGGAAGCTATGCTTTTTGCTCTTCATCAAGGAGTGCAATATGTTATTCTGGAAGGGGATTCAATCAAGCTTTGAAGGCAGTTAAAGCAATGGAGACACAGACACAAACGATACCTTTGGTTATGAATTTGGACAGTATCAAGAATGATCTTCAAAGTTTTAGTTCTCATGAATTAGCTATGGTTCGGAGAAATGGAAATCAAGTAGCGTTTACTTTAGCTAAATATGCGAGATTTATTGTGAGTTATATTGCATTGATAGAAGTCTAACTAGAAAAAAGATCTCTCAATTACTTTTAGAAAAGAATCATTGGTTTGACCGACAAACTACATGGAAAAATGGAATTGCTTTCTTTGATTAAGCCAATTCAAGATTTTCCTACTCAATATTGATTATATAAATAGCACTCGATCAAAGGGAAACTTAAGTAAGTTTAGTGGTTGAAAAACCTCTAAAATCAATCGATGGGAATATCAAAGCTGTCTAGAGGTAGGAGCAATCTCATATTAGCAAAAAATCCTTGCAACTGTGGAGTTGAACACAACACTGACTTCGGCTAGGAGATTGATGAAATAAGTTGGCCCTTACTTAACTCCTTGTTCCGTAAATTGATCGCTGGTTGATCTGATCAGACCCCGAACACGCAAGTGTCTAGCCGGGGAGGAATGCATGTTTCCCTTGCAGGTTATGGGATGGACGTTCATAGTCCCCCTCCCTCGGATTTGAACATAACACTGACTTTGGCAAGGAGATTGATGAAATAACCTGGCCCTTGCTTAACTCCTTGTTTCGTAAACCAATCGTTGGTTGATCTAATAGGACTCTGGACACGCGAGAGTCCAATCAGGGAGGAATGCATGGTTCCCTTTTAGGTTATGGGATGGACGCTCGTAGTCCCCCTCTATCTAGTCTAACCCTACCTCGCTTGCCTTAGTCGAAAAACAACTTCCATTGTACCTTGCTCGTCTAAGTCAATGATCACACCAAAGCCTTCCTTATTCTGGAAGCCTTCAACAAAAATAATCATTTGATTCAGTAAAGCACAAGGCAGTATAGTCAGTGTGAAGTATACAATCTCTCTAATTCAAAACGGGGGAAATTTTGCGTATATCAGGCTCCAAAAAACCAAAATAGTGCTTCATAACCTAGGCGACATCTCAAGCAGCCTTCACGGAGGCCTCGACTTCAGACGTTGAATGCGATATGTAGCTAAAGGCAATTCACATGACTAAGATGTGAATGACCGTGATCTGCTCAATATAGTGATGGACTCCAAGGACGACATCTAATCGGCACCAATACCCCAACATGAAGCAAGTTCCCCGTAATTTCAAAAAACTTATTTTTAATATCAAAATATGTGGAATAGTTGTTCTCATTATCATACCTAACTAAGAAAGTGTCATTAGAGATCAAATTACAAATGTCCTTGATGCGAAATAAATGATCAACATTACTGAAACTAGAATTGACACGATCATTTCAACTATAGATGTTTTTATCTAAATTATTGCGTATATGTGCAAAACGTTCATTATTGTTAGCCAAGAAAAATGACTCTTGGTCTAGACAAGATAGACTTTGACCAAAGGAAAAATGAACAACATGAGCAAGAGAAGGGTCAACACGTTAAGGGAATTTCTTATGGCTACACTAAGATGTGGTGACCTCTCGTCTTCTAAAGCAAGTGAGAGAGGGAGTCACTCAACGATTTTGGTAGAGGACAGAGTCCTCTTATGTGCGTACAGTCCTTTCGCGCTACACTAGGATGCGTTTATATCCATTGCTTGCATTCTTCCTCCCCTTCTCTTTGATTTGCTTCCTTTGGAGTTTGAGCTTAGCAGCCGCGACTGCCACTACTTGCCTAATAGTACAACGTCTTCCTCCTTGACTTGACTTTCCTAGCTACCGAGTCCCTCTCCAAAGCATTGCTAAAAGGACAAAAGGAAAGATTCTTTATGATACCGCTTGAATAACGATAATCAGAGTGAGTTGTGGTGATGTCAGAATTTGCACTTATTTGTATATATTTAGTTATCAGTCTCTTAATTTTTTTGTCGACTTGCATACTTCTTTTATCATCGAAGTTTTGATTAGCAATTTGATAGACGGCTCATTGGGAAAGATGTAGATGAAAAATATGCCCCTAGAAACATATAGGAAGTTTTCTTCTAGTACGACTCGAGAAAAATTTATTCGAATTTTTGTCTATGTATAGAATTCTAATGGCAAAATAATGCATCACTAAAAGCCGTTCACCACACCAAAAAGTAAACAACTCATTGTGCGTGCTCGTGACACAGGACTTCTTGTGATTCTTTCTTCTTGTTCATAATTACTCTTAAATGGATGATGAACGAATTTTGACAAAGGAATGGGTTCAAAAAACCTTTCTCCTAAATGCCGAACTATTGACCCTACTTGTTCAGATGGGTTTTCACCCCAAATTGTTCCCGAACCATATGCGCCTTTTCAATCTTCATTAGGGGCCAAAAAGAAATGTTGAAGAAATCAATCATTTCTAAGTTGCAATCAAAAATATGTTGCAATCAAATTTTGTAGAGGACTCAATTTCTCTATTTGGCATTTGATTCCCTTTTTGTTTGTGTTGAAGATGTACTTGTTATGCCTTTCAATTTATCATTATTCTTGTTGTCTTTTTGACGTGCAAGTGGAGACCACAATTGTGGAGTTTTAAAGCTTTTCTCACATCAATAAAATATGACCTCCCAAACCAATTTACATGCTTTGTGAACGTCTCCACCCATTGGAAGTTTGATTCTTTCACATTTATAGTACATGTGTTTGCTAGTCTAGGTCTTATGGTTTTTCCCGCAAGGCTTTCCACGTAAAAATTATTCATGCTTGTGGTGTAATTAAGTGTTATTGAAATAGTTATATGTGTTATTTGACCACCATCAAATTGCAATTGGAGGATTGACAAGTTGATTAAAACTAAAAGTCGACCTCTAGGAAATATTCACCCCCTCTATGTCACATTCCATAATAATTAGACAACAGGTGCTTTTTCACATATTTCCAAATTCTCATGAAGTTGGATAAAGAGGAAGACAATATAATCTTGCAACAAATAGCATGTATTATATAACCAAGAAGCACAAAGGAAGCATATCTGGCATTCAATCATTGTTATAGGCACTAACAATCACTAGAGTCTCACACATACCTCCCATTTGATAACATTAAGCATCCATCATCCAACTTTTTGATAACCCTTTCGGTTGCTTCCCTTGTCCTAAAAATAACGAAAGCTTGACCTAGGACATTAGGAAAAAAGGAATAAATTTAAAAAGAAAGGCAAAAGTGGAGTTCAACATTGAGATCAACGAGCCGACATTATTTGTCTATTGCTTTATAGTATGGGAAAAAAAGATGAAACATGCTCAATAACTTCGAGGAATTGGTAAAAGATACTATCTTTCGGGTGTTCTGTACCAAAGTGTGGGCTAGAAATTGCTGTGCATGGTACCATTTTGGCAGAGCAATTCTCGTTAAACGCGCACCAAATAATATCCTGAAATGAAAGAGAGATAGTTGAAATAATGGATATAAGATCTCTAGACATTCGAAATGGAAACTAGACACAAAACAACCCAATCAAAAATTATAACCGAAGAGAAAAATTTAGACAATTATTCTACAGACACATGAACTTTTGAAAATATCCACTCTGCAACTACTACAACATTATGGCCACCGAATGCTGGTTTTGTCCCGAAGCTCTTTCCACTCATTGCCAATTAGTCATATTGGATGCCAGTCACATGGTTTCATGCCTTGAATTGTTGGTGGGACCAGTATATCACCCATTAGAATTCCACGACAACAATCACCCAAGGTTGATTACGTGGTTAAGAGACCTCTACTCTCATTGACAATAAATTTGGAATCTCCAACAGACCATCAGCCTTGGACCACTTTTTAATAGCAAACAAAACTTTCCTTTCAGCGGATAAAGCTAGACCTTGGGTCATCCGCGGACCAAGTCTCTCATCCATTTGTATTCCACGGTCTACTCATCTTTGGTTGCTCACGTGAAATTCCATATTACACGTGAGGATGGTGTGAAGAGCTATTCTATCCAACATCATAATATTAAGGTTACCTAAAGTTGGTTATCTGGTTAAGGTATTTCTCCACACATTTGCAATTATTTTTGAGATGAAGGCCTCTAATAGAAGCAACCAAAAATTTCCATTATCATTTAACTTAATTAATAGAATAAATTTCAATAGGGTAAAAATCATATGAAGCTGGAAGCCCCATGTGATGGTCAAATGACATGGAGACTCCTCAACATTTGAAAAGTTAAAGAGAGTCCGCATTAACAGTTTTAACAAAAATGACCATTGTACCCTTTATTCATCTACCATTAAAATCTACTCATTTTAAACCTATTACAAAATATTATTCAACGCCCAATAACACCAATCATAAACATGATGCCAAATAATTTAATCAATCTTAGTTTTACTACACCGCACCCAATACATCCACGTTCCTTCCCCCTTCGAGCACCACACCCACCACTGCTATGGTACATCATTCCTCTCCTTCCGCTTCTTATCCCCTCCCTCATCTTTTTCCTCTTTATCCTTTACTGCTCACTCTTTATCTTCACATCCTCATCCATCATCTTCTCCTTCATCCACTGATCACCTTCTCCCTCCCCACTGCCCTCCCCAATTCTTTTTTGCTCCATATCCCCCATCATCATCTTCTATACCCATCACCCTCCAAAAACCCAACCCCAAGCTCCCCCCAAGCCCCAAACTATCTATTCAACACCCTAAACTCTACAAATCATAAACTCCCTACTACCCTCCCCTATTCTCCCTCTCTCCAGATCCCCTTCCCTCATCCTCCGTCCCGCTTCATCAACGCCATAGACCACTTGGACACCCTACCTTGCACAAATCATTGATAAATGCAAACGACAAAGTAACATTGAGTTTTGAAAAAAGAGGATATTGGGACCTAATTACATTTGGGAGTAGTATTGGTGTGGGTGAAGGTCATGACGTTAGGGGAAATGTGCATTGCTATATTGGTGG